TGCAATGATATCCTGGTGCTGATGCCATGATCACCCATGGAGAGACTGTTTACCGTCTTGGTGCCTGGCCCTTTTCATCCAGCCTGTGAGAACTTGCAGTTGTTAAAGCTAGTGCTAACCAAATGTAAACACCTTTACTTTCCAGCTGTTGCTAATTGGTTTGGGAATAATTATGGAAGTGTTGATTTTAAAGCTAAAAATAGTGCGGTGATGTTTAAATCCAACTCATTTTGGCTGTCAGAAATGCTCCCGTGATCCTGAAAGTGTTGCTAAAAACGTTCGCTTTAAAAAAAAAAAAAATGGTAGTAATTATACTTGTCTGTTGTGAGAGCCACATATGATCTGCTTGCTCCCTGCTCTGATGAAAGTGGTAAAGGGCAAACTTCTTAAAGGTCTCTGACCAGTTGACAAGAGACAATCTCCTACTTAACTTTATTTTAGAGAGCAAGGACTTGTCATGTGGGCAAAAGTGGAGACAAAATAAATTTTGAAATAGCTCTATACCTTGTATTTCATACAGCTGATTACATCCTTCTATGTTAACATTAAAAATAGAAATTGTAATAATTATATTAACAAAAGTAATAATAGAGCTTCCTTCCAAAACTATTGTTTTCTAGAGGCAAGTTGGAGAATTTGAAATCACATAATTTGTTTCTCAAACCTGAAGCCAAAGAACTATGGTTGCTGTTTGGCATCAATTGTTTATACCTTTGGTTCTTCATAATTAGGGTTATTTTTGTGCCTCTCCTTCCAAATTTAAAAGCCATCTTACAGATTTTCTCAAAGTCATTTATGTAAGGAATGAGGAAAAAAATAGTTTCATTTTTAGACATGTGCAATTGCATGACTCTTCATTTTACCATGTAATTTAGTGAAGGAAAGCTTAAGTGTTCTTAAATTATTGTTTGTCAATTATTTTGTGATTTTGGAAAAAATGATTTTGTGTACCCTGTTAAAAGCTGCCATTGTCGATAAGCATTGAAGCACTGCATGGCGACAGTGTTGCTGAAGTCAATTTGAAATTGGCTTTATGTCCTTATAAGATGCCCTAAGCATCTGTCTGCCTGCCCCATCTTCAGAGAATATCAAAAAATTCTGTTAGTGCAATATATGGAAATGATCTTGGCAAATGACAAACACTGCTCATTAGTTGAGATGATAAACTGTAGTTACTACCCCCTTTTGATAGGTACAGCAAGGCAAAGTGTTTTTGATGTTATCTTAATAATAATAGGACTCCTGTCTTAGAGATATAAGTCTTTGAATGTGGATTCTTTTTAAAGTCTTTGGTTATCGACATGATTTCTCCAAATGTGTAGCCAGTTCAGAATTATCCTTGAGCAGATTATGACATTGTAATAGTCCCAATATTGCTTTCAAATTGTAATTGACATTTCCATATACTCAGAGCATTAAGCATGTTGTTGATATAAATAGAACCTTTACTTTCTGTCTAACTGAAGCTAGATGAAAAACTCGTTTTTTAACCTTAGATAATGTTGATTTGAGCCAGAAAGTGTGTTATTTTTCTACCTTGTTAGGGATCAACAAGAAAGTTCCATTGGCAGTATGGTTCAGAGGCAACAATAATTATACAAAACTTTGTAGCAAATATCAGTTTTTTTCTTTGACACCGTGAGGATACGTCCCATACGGAATTATAAAACTAAAAAGTATATTCGTTTTAATTAACTGTCACTGTGAACTGTTCATGAATTGAGAGACTTTATGATGTATAGATGATGATACTCTCCAAATTGATCTGTATATTCAATGCCATCCCTAGCAAAAACCAACTGTTTTTTTTTGCAGATATTAACAAACTGATTCTAAAATTAATATGGAAATGCAAGAGACACAGCATAGCCAAAGCAATCTTGAAAAATAAGAATGAATTTGGAAGAATCATGCATCCTGAATTCAAAATTTAGTACAAAGCTGCAATAATTGACTGTCATACTGACATAGAATAAAGATGTATAGATCAATGAATAAAATACAATTGAGGATCCAAAAATAAACCCTTACATTTTTGGTAAATTTATTTTCTATAAAGGGTGTCGAGACAATTCAATGAATAAAAAATAGCCTTTTCAATAAATGATACTAACACAACTAGATATCCATATGCAAAGAATGAATTTGAACTCCTTCCTCACATAATATTCAGAAATTAACTCAAAATGATAATAGGTCTAAATGTGAGAGCTAACACTGTATAAAATTCTTAGAATATAACAAAGCTGTAAATATTTGTGAACTTGTATTAGGCAGTATTCCTTAGATACAACACCAAAAAACACAGGCAACAAAAGAATAAATAAATTGGACTTCGTTAAAATAAAAAACTTTTGTGGTTTAAAGGACACATCAAGAAAGTGAAGACAAGCCAAAGAATGGGAACACATATTTGCAAATCATATATTGAATAAGAAATTTGTGTATGGAATATTTAAATAACTCTTTACAGGTCAATGATAAAAAGACAAATAGATATTTCTCCAAAGAAGATACACAAATGGCCAATAATCACAGGGAAAGAAGCTCAACATCATTAGTCATTATAGAAATGCAAATCAAAACTACAGTAACATATCACCTAGTACCCATCAGGATGAATAAAATAAATTAAAATTTTAAAAATGGAAATAAGTACTGGCAAGTATAGAGATGTTAAAACCCTCATGTATTGCTGGTAAGAATGGCAAATTATTCCGACATGTGGGAAATAGCATAGCAGCTCCTCAAAACGTTAAACATGGAGTTACCATATGACCAACAATTCCCCTCCACAGTATATGCCTAAGAGAACGGAAAGCATATGTTCACACGAGAACTTGTACCCAAATGTTCATAGCAACATTATTCATAATCGGGAAGAGTGGAAACAGCCCAAATGCTCACCAGCTGATGAATGGATAAACTAAATGTGGTATATCCATAAAGTGGAATATTGTTGGGCCATAAAATGGAATAAAATACTGATGCATGCCACAACATGGCTGAGCTTTTGAAAACATTATTCAGAGTGAAAGAAGCCACGTGTTTTATGATTCTGTTTATGTGAAATGTCTGAAATAGGCAAATCCTTTGAGACCGAAATTAGATTAATTATTGACAGGGCCTGCTGGGGAAGGGAAGGGTTAGAAATATCTGCTAATGGGCTTAGAGTTTCTTTTTAGGGTAATAAAAAAAAATGTTCTAAAGTTAGATGGTGCTGGTTACAAGACCCTGAATATACTGAAAACCACTTAATTGTACTATTTAAAATAGTGACTCTTATGTAAATTACATATCAGTAAAGCTGCTGTGAGAAATAAAAATGATCTTAAACCAGTCCATTAGATGATTGTGGCTACAGCCCCATAGATATGGGGCTCCAAACTCACAAGAGATCCAACCTGAGAACTGACCAGCTAAGCTTCTTCTAAATCTCTGACTCACAGAAACTATGAGAGATAATAAACGTTTATTTTTTTTAATCTATTAAGTTGTGGGATAATTTATTATACAACATTAGAAAATTAATACAATGAACTCCTTGTGTTATGTGCTTGATATATAGAGAGCCAGACACAAATTCATTCCTGTGTAAGAGAGACAGATAAGAAAGTTAATGATTTTGGCAAAAATGAGGTCATCAAATATCCTGACATACATGATAATCACAGGTTCCAATATTATGTTAAATTTTTCTAAGTATTTTTGTAACCTGCGCAACCCTGTCTCCATTTATCTGTAAGCATATATCAAGCCCTTCATAATATGAATGTTTGAAAGCTTTCAAAAACATTCATCTTTTAAGATTTGATACCTTAAACCATCAAGTGTTCTTTAACCTTATAGAAATTCTTTTCTTATCTCTGTGAAGAGGAGAAAAATAATGTAAAAATCTAGTATAGACCAAGTCTTTCTCAAAACTACCAACCCCTGCATGAAATGTTGCTATTCAGTCTCAAAGTGAGAGACTTTTTTTTTTTTTACTCAGTTCGCCACAGTAAAGTGATTCTGTTGCAGTTGTGTCTTATTTTCTTTAAGATATTAATCTAATTTACTTATGTCCAGCCTCTTAAGCTCACTTTGTTGGAATAAGGGATTTGGATGCATGAATGCTGTTTATAGGTGTGGATATTTGCTAGTGGGTCTTTCTGTATCTGGTTTGTTGCTTTCATGAAACCAGAGTCCATGTCTAACTATTTTTTTTTTGACTCTGCTTTTGAAGAGAGGGATATTCACAGGATTATTACCTGTCAGAGAACAGCTCTGAGGCCTAATGTCTTCCATAAGGAAGCAGCAGCATCAGGCACTCTTTCTAGAATACATCCTGTCCTCTGCTTCTCTGGGTAACATCCAATACAACTTTACCACTGTCCTGGAGTGCAGGACCTCTCTGACCCTCCAACCTTTCTGTAGTGGGAGCCCGTTTACGATTTTAGAAATTAAACGGGCAATTGGAGCTTTTCCCTGGGAAGATTATCTTCAGAATCAAATTTTATGACAAAGTAAGAATTCTGGATTTCTTCCTGCAGTGTTTCTGCCTCACTTTGACAGAGGTGACCTTGCCAGGCAACAATTTTTCATGAATTTTGCTTTCTTTATATTTTAATGTTGTAGGGGGCAGGCAAGTATAGTACCTCAAGGCTAACATATCACCGCCTGTCACTAGAGCCACTCCTTTGGTATTCTTTTCCTTCCTGGAGTAAAACAGTCCCAAAAGTCTATGGCTGAGTAGCAGGAAGTTAAATGAAGTATTCCAAAGCTCTTAACATATTGCCTTGTGTGGATGACCCATTTTAGCATTTCAGAAACCAAATAGGAGAGAACAGAACATTGAAAACACTGAAAAGATTAACACCTGCTTCCAGTTTTCAAAGAAATTGGAGCAGAATGTATATATCCAGCATAAAGCCGTTTACTCTCCCATATTGAGATATTTTATTCACATTTTCAATTCAATATGCATAGCATCACATGCTTACGATTGTGTTTTACTCTAGGATTCCACGGAGAACTTGGAAGGCAGAGAAGTTATGAATGGTGAACACACAGAACTAGTTACATCGCCAAAAACTAAGGACACATTGAGGTATTCTCTTCATGCAAATAAAAATATCTCATTTATTTCAATTTGATGTGTTTTTTAATGGTTGATAAGTGTTCTTATTTTACAAAAAAGATCAGGATAAGTAGACTTGTGGAGTGAAACGTGTTCCAAATCTAACAGTTAATTCTTCTTTTCTACTGTTTTCTTCACATGAGAACTTATGGACCAACATATATACAAATGATCCTTATGCCATCCAATACGCCTGTGTACCCAGGATTTCTTAATTACTTTCTTCTCTCCTCAAATAGCAGTTTCAAATGAACATTTCAGAGGTCCTTGTTATGGTTTTACTTTGACTTTAGCTCTTTGAAAGTGCCAAACCCTAGCCACTAGACCACCAGGGAACCTTAAATTTAGCTCTTTGAGTACTACTTTGTATTGTGTTTTAACAACCTTGCAATATTTTAGTTGGTGATGTAAAATGAACCCTGTCCATTAACCAGGATTTTTCACGTTCTTAATGAAGGCAACTTATTTGCTTCCATGATTCCCAATACTTTCTTTGCTTTGCAGTGATTTCCAGTTCAGCTTTAGGTAGTGCCTGGGTTCAGATCCCAGCTATGCCTCTTTACTAGTCTTATGAGCTTAGACAAGTTACTCATTTTTCTTTCCCTTAGTTTCTGGTCTGTAGAATGGAAATATTATTAGAACCTTATTCAGAGGGTTACTATGAGTATTAAATGAGTTAATATATGTAGAACATTTTGCATAGTGTTGGGGTTAGGATAAATCCTATGAGTATTTGCTGCTACTTCTACTGTCATTAATATCATATCATCTCTATTATTATTCTAATCATTTTGTCTAGGGCATTTCAAATTTGGCATAAGGAAAATAATTTGGTATTTAATAGATGGTTACTTCAGCATTAGGTAAAGCTGCTGAAGTTTATAATTACTGTATTCATTCAGTCGACATATTCCTTTCATTGAGTCCTGTTACTAATTGGTACCAAACAATTAGCATGAAATTAGCTTTCTAAAAACATAGGTGATCATCTTTTGTCACATGCTTTACTGTGTGGATTCTCCTCAAACTTATTTATAGCCACATGACCATAGTAACTTTTTATTTAGATTGTTTATTTGATTGATGAGCTGCATAGCATTAAAAATTTGATACAAACCAGGCTAGGTGGTGCATGCCTATCATCCCAGCTACTTGAGAGGCCGATTCACAGGATCACTTGAGTGTAGGAGTTTGAGTCCATCCTGCAACACAGGGAGACCCTCCCCGTCTCTTAAAAAAAGGAGGCGTTATGGGGCGAGGAGTCATAGAAAATCTTCAAAGTGCTGTCTTTTCAGAAACTTAATAAGATTGTTTCTGGAGGTAGACATAATGAGTGTAATGCTCTTATTCTGTTTGGCTTTAATTTCACTTATTTCAACGTTAGCTTTTTGAAAAGATTTTTAATATCTTGGCCAGATGCTGTGTGAATAGCATCATAGAGTCAACAATGATTTGGCTTATGACAATATGAACAAATTAGCTAAGCTTTCTTCAGCTACAGGCAATTGGGAGAAATAGTGTGTAGGAACTTAAAAATATATGTTATTTAGTTAAAACATGTATACCTTTATATGTATAGTTTTATTATCAGAACAGGCTTTTCACATGAGTTTTCTTATCACCTTTAATAGGTTAAAGAACTGCAATTCAGAGCAATTAAGTGACAGCCACCGACTTAATTGACACCCACCACTCTTGTCTACAAAGCCACTGTTTCAAACATTCCTATTGCGTGTGCGTTCCCTGATGCCTTGGTGTTCTATTTCATGCTACCTGACCAAGGCTAGGAAACTTCTCTTATAAAAGGCAGCTAAAATCAGTTTTATGTCAAATTCAGAAAGTAGAGTGAGTGCAGTGCCCAGCACTTTAAGACCCTGGAGTGGGAAAGATGATAACAATCTTAACATCACTGAATGCATGGGGGAAAGCTTGGAGGCTACGGTTCTAAGAAAGGACATTGATTCTAGCTGGTATGAGATGAAAAAATAGTTGAAGTGAAATTAGGAAGCCAATTATAGCTGAGTTACAAGGTCCATATGCTCCTGGGGCAGAGAGAATCTCATATCCCACAGGGCTTGGCCCACGCATAGGACTTTGGGCATCATCCATGTAGAAGCTAAGTAAATTATTTGCAGTCTATCTCAAAATGTCTTGAAACTATTTAATTTCTGTAATCATTGCTTGAGCTTTTGTTACCTCTCAGCTACACCGTTATGATAACCTACTAACTTCTTTGTCAGATATCAGTTTCTCCTCATTCTAATTGATCCCACATATTACTGTTGGATACAGTTTTTTAAACCACAGCATTTGTCAAACCATTCCTTAGTTCCAAACCTTTTGGATTTAGATAAGTCCTGGGTTTGAGCACTAGCTCTGCTACTTACCCCATGTTCAATCTTGGACAAATTACATTACTTCTTTAACATGTATCTTCATAGGAAAATGGATGTCATGGTCACATAGGTTATTGTGAAAATTAAATGAGATATAGTACAGACAACTGACTTAGCACAATGCTAAATGAAAGGCTGGATAAACATTAATTGCTATTGCCATTTTCGTTGTCATTTTTATACAGATTGTAGTTTATTGTTACTGTCTCTCATTCTCCCAAGCAAGACTATGAATCTTCCAAAGGATTCCTGACACCTAATACAGGTCTTAGAATATAATAGGGACCTATTTGTTGAGCAAATGACTGAATGGATATAATACATTGCTCCATAAATCATAAGCATAACTGTTAACTGTTCACCCATTATTAACACATCTTTATTTAAAGAAAAATAACATTTAAAAGACATTCTCCAAATAGTCTTACAATATGCATCTCTTATGAAGCACCACTCAACTTACTTTGATCTTAAAAGACAACGAAACAAGAGGTTTGGTGATTTTATTAAAGAATTATACTTTGAGCTTCTCTTTAAATAGCAAGCAATATGTGTAAAAGACCTCCACCTCATCCCTAATTCCTATCTCATTTCTGACTCTGCCTTATCACACCACTCCTACTCCCCAAGTAAGCCTTCTTCCAGACTAGCCTTTTGTTTCATGCTTAAACTGCCAGCACATTTTATCCTATCCTCTGCTGTGTCCACGATATCTGTTCATTGATCAAACTGTGCAGAGCACATCTCATAAAATGTGGGACATCTCGCCATGTTTTGATGCTTTGTTCCTGTAGTCACTACTCAAGCCTCTGTTACTCTATTAATGGCAACTAGATTATTGCAGTAATTTACTAATTCCCGCCCTAAGTACCAATCTCTCCCTTGTTGTTCCCTTTTCCAATTGATCCCACTTATCACTGCATAAATATTTCTAAACCATAGCATTTATCACACTGTTCCCTAATTCTAGAACCTGTAGTGACTTAATTTTCTGCAAATTAAGTATACATTTGCCAGCCAGAAATTCAACACAACAATCTGAGATTTAATCTCAAGCCAATGGTTTAATCTGTCTCCTATACACAGCGCCTTTTTCTTCCCTCTTTTATCCCTTCTTCCTCCTCTTATTCTCTCTGTCCCCCACCTTTCTCCCTCCCTCTCTCTAATATTACAGCTATTTATATTCACAAACTATCCTCCTTCAATATCTCCATCTGGTTGACTTTCTTCCTGTGCATGCCTGCTCCATCGCCTCACCTACCTTTTCTAAAGGAAGACCCATTTATCCTTCTTCAGGAAGAGATTCCTAATCTCAGCTTCCCTTCCTAAGCCTGCACCCTCCTTTTCTGAAACACATCACAAGGTCCCTCCACTTTGAAACTGCACTTTGGTTAAATGGTTAAGAACTCTGCTCTGGGCCGGGTGCTGTGGCTCACACCTGTAATCCTAGCACTTCGGGAGGCCGAGGTGGGAGGATCACCTGAGGTCAGGAGTTCAAGAACTCTGCTCTGGAGTGCAATAAGTCCCTATTTGAGTCTTGATGACTCTACTTTATAGGAATGATATGATGTTGGACAAATTATTAAACTCTTTAAGCATAAGTTTACTTCTCAAATGGATGTAATATGAATGTTTACTTTATAGATTTAATATCAGCACATGATATAATGCCCAGAATATTTTCTGGGCACACTGCCTCCCAAGTAAGAGCTTACATTCACTGAGGATCTACTACTGTGACCTATTGCCTTCTATTATTTTAATTACCTGTATCAACCCTCCCTTTAGATTATAAACTACTAAAGCATGGATTTGTCCTTGTTCTTTCCTTGCGGAACTTCCCCAATGAAACAACTCAATATTTTTTGAATTCAAGGAAAATAAGTGGATCTCATCACCAACAACAAAGCCTTTTATAGATTTGTACTAAGTATGTTTGCATCCTCAAGACGTTTCACCATCAAGTAGAGTTCAAGTTGTCTGCACACTCTTCCTGGAGGTTTCCTTCTGTAGTTCGTCTGTCATACCATTGCTTGCCACAGATCTGTGAATCCGTCCTTGCAGAAGATCAACTAACACCCACCCATGTGCTGTAGCCCTTTGTCTTCTCTCTGCACGTGGGCAATCGGATTGCAAAGAAAATGTGTTCCTCAATCCTGTGGTATTTAAGGCTTTTTAAGAAAGTCTTACTGAGGAAATCAATAGAAAAAAAAATGGGAAAGTTTGATATAGATTATTCTTTTAGTCTGTAAGCATGTTTCCTTAGAAAGTTCTAATGATCATACTAATAGCAGGTAGCTATTGAACCCTTTGTAAATACCAGATATGACATGTGTAACGTATATGTGTTATGATCTTTATGTTTCTCATTAAAGCCAACCACTCTAATAGGGAAATACCTAATTTATTTATTTAGTTGGGTTTGTTTGTTTGTTTGTTTGTTTGTTTCCTGAGACTGAGTTTCACTCTTTCAACCAGGGTGGAGTTAAGTGGTGTGAACTGGGCTCACTGCAACCTCCGCCTCCCGGGTTCAAGTGATTCTCATGCCTCAGCTTCCCCCTCCCTGTCCCCATTCTCATCTCTTCCATAGCTCAACAAGAGACCTGCCACTGAGTTCAATAATCTTAGTGTTAAAAATGCTGTCCATTTACCTGGTATAAAGAAATGAGACTTACAAACAAACATCTGCAGCTTCTGTTTTACATTTGTCCCTCAACCTTGAAGTCTTTCTTCTGGATGGAAACCAAATGAAGCCTCTCACATCTATCTCTAGCAGAGTTGCCATTCATAATGACAGTCACATTTTTAGACCACTGGTTCTGCAGCTTCACCGATAGTTTTGTCTAAATCTCAGATCGGTAGCAGCTGGTTCCAGTTTTATCAACTGGATCTTAGAGCATTTTGCTAGTTTAATACTAGTTGAACTAATGCTTTGTAACTATCTGCTTCTTTTAGTATGCCTTAGGAAGTTGTATAAAGATAGCTATTTTGAGCTTAGTAAAACCTTCCCACTTGTCTTTTATGTATAACTGAACCTTTTTTTTAATCCCACACAGTTCATTTTCTTTTTTTAGTAACTGTCAACCACTTTTTCTTTCCACTCCCAGAATATCCTTTCCACCTCCTTTTCTACATTTTCATTCAAAATCAACCTTCTAGCTTATTTTTTGTCTACTACAATGTCCTCTAAAACATAAAGTGCCATGTCCTGCTCACTCGTCCCTGAATTGTGCTCTAGAGTTTATCTAAACAAATAGCATTAATAGCCTATTTTCACGTCTTTGTAAAATCTCACTTTATGAGATATGTATTCAAATTGTTGTGTCCAGTCCTACTTGCTGTGTTTCTCTTCAGTGAAGGCGGTATGTATAGAGATTTCTGCAGAACAAAACTTCATCAATTATTTCTAATACTGAGGGTTGTTTTTCTTTTAAAATAAATAAAAATATGTGAACTGGTCCATAAGGCATTCTTTTTCAAATGCACTCCTTTCTATCTTGAAACCTAACAGTGGGTAACATTTTATAAAGAACACAAAGAGACATGGTCTATGTAAAATTATATTGAATTATATTGCTTATTTTTATTAAATAGTTCTGATTTTCGGTAAGTGCTTATATATTATAGTAAAAAAAATATCAAAAGTGTTTTAGGCTTTTTTCTGGGATAGTACTATTTTTGTGATAATAATATAAAGGTTATAAAAGATCCTTCTAGCCACAAAATTGCAAGCATCGTGTGTAATGGTAGAATGAAACTTTATTCTGCTACATTGAAAGAAGAATCTCATAAAATGGAAATCAACTTTTAAAACTCCATTCTCACAAAATTTTTAAGTATTTTTAAAAGATTAGCTACTTAAATATGTTTTGGTTTCTTAAGTAAATGTTAAAACACATTGCTAATGATTACTAAAGAGTAGGTATCAGTATGATACATATAATTTATTATGTCTTATAGAAGGGATTTTGAGTGGGAGTAAAGAAACATTTGTGAAATAGAAAAAACATGGGAATTCATAAAATTTATCCTAAAAATTATTAATCTGAAATCTTGAAGTCTGTAACAGACTAAACACATTCCAAAGCCTCTATATATTACATATGGATGCTATCTCTTAGCATGTGGATACTTGATACATTTATTAGGAAAGATTTGTGTTGTGCTTCTTTCAGTGCATAACTATAAAAATATGTTATAAAGGTAAAGGTAATAATTTTCAGTGGTTAAGCAAAATTTGAATCTCTGTTTATAAAAGTCTTTTTAAAAAGTATTGTAAACCTAGGATGCAAATGCTTTGGGTTTAGACTTCCTCAGATGGCTAAAAATGCACTATAAATCTGTTATTTTTTGTAAACTTATTACTTTTTAGCCATACAAGTTTCTCTGCCCACCAAGCATTTTATATTCAGACCTTATAATGCATAGCTATATATAACAGTCCATACACACATATTTACATAAATGTTCATATCCTCACATATATAGAGATGAATGATTTAATACTATATTATCACTCTAAAATTAGTTTCATTTTTAGCTTTTATTCTAAGCCTCTGACATAATCTGCTTGACTGAACAAGTTTTACGTATATCAGCAATATCTGGGCAAAACTCATTTGAAATTTATTACCAGATTTAAAATTTCATCATTTTCTGCAAATGCTGAAAACTAATGTATTCTTTTTTGCATTTCTTAATGATAATAGGCTTGCAAAGAAAACACATTAAAAATAAACTTAATCCACTGGTGAGAATATATTTAATGTATTTGTTTTAGATTGCTGATAATTTGGAGAATACTCGATGCAGAGTAAATTCATCATGGATTTTGCTTAATGCTGTTCTCAACTTTCCAGCAAGAAGCTAACATTTCACTGTTTTCAATTTGGAGCAGAAAGCATTTGTAGTGGTGGTAGCTCTTAATTTGACATCTAGTTTCAGGTCATTTTCATGTAAATAGAAAACAATGGAGACCTGCGTACAATTTCCATAACATGGATGTTTGCTTCCACATTATTATTTTCTTCTGGCAATTATTTTTTCTCTCTGGGATTAAAGGAGCCAGTAATTGTTCACAGTTATTATTTTTCATCTTTATGAAAACTTGTTGGTTCCACTCTTTATTACTCAAAAGCTCCCAGTGCCTTCTTTATTTCAGTCATACACACAATCCATTAATGTTTCTAGCTCATCCTTTCCTTAATCTGGGTAGGTTACGCAGGTCAGGCTTTCTATTTCTTTCTATAATACATTTTCTTCAGGCTTTGCAACCTCTTTTTCTACCGTTAAAAAAAACAGGAGGTGAAAATTTGGAATTGTTCCATTGAATGTAACTGCCGCCTTATTGAAAAGTAAGTTTGAGTTTTGATTTATATTGCTTTGAACATGCCCGTATGTATTACCAACTGTGGCTTCACAGCCATTATAACATGTAATTCTGTGCTTTTTCCAATAAATATTTTATTTCATTCTTCCTCTGTTCCAGAGAAGAAGCCTACTTTATGCTGAAGTGTCAGTGTGTTTTCTTCTGTGTTTCGTATGATCTGTACAGTAATTTTCAAGTGTGTTTCAATGGGGAAAATTTTTGTGTATCTTTTAAAATATGTTGATTTATGCAGATTAAGTTAAGTAGGAAGTTATTTTTGTAGGTAGTCATTTCCATTTGTTCCTCTTCTAGGAGTAAAAGTAAGAAATCAGATAGCCTTTTAAACATTTTGTTTTCTGAATCTTCGGAACCTAACAGTACATTATGTACTCTTTTGACTTAGTCTCTGCTGTTGAAGTTATATTAGTTGATATAATCCTGAGCAGTGTCTGTGTGTGTGTTTTAGATGTGTCTCATTTGTTTTTTAGTAGATACTCATTTGTGCTCCTGTCTTTTTCTGCCCTAGTGATATGACAAGAACAGTAGAGATTTCTGGGGAAGGAGGCCCATTGGGAATACATGTAGTGCCCTTCTTTTCATCTCTAAGTGGAAGGTAAGATGTTTTTCTCATTTCAGAAGCTCATTGCTAATGAAAGCCCTGATTTGAGCTCCTTTTTCCCAAATGTTTTTCAGAAGGAGATTAAATGTAAATTCTATTATTTACATGGATGCCTCAAGACATACTGTTTTTGGCCACTTAAGTGTTGGAAACAAAATAAAATCATTGACTTTAGGATGTAATGGGGGAAAAAATCAATCACAGTTTCTCCATTTACAAATAATTATGAAATACTTTCTTAAAATATCCTTGTCAGTGACACATAGTAAACAGAATCCTTGGCAAAGATGTTAACATACTGTTAAACAAATGTTACAAATGACTTTTTTTTAATATTCCAGAATACGCTTCAACAAGTGAGTATAATAATTCCAAATTGGTATGTCCTGTTACTCTTCAAGGATGTAGCATTTAGAATAATATATATTCTAACATTTTAAGTAGCTATATCTGAGGCTGTGTATTTAGGATGGCTTTATAGAAGCAAAATGTCATCATGCTATATTTTCCTAAAACATAATTTAGTTCAGTTAAAAATAATTTACCATATCCTTTTGGAATTTTTAAGACATTATGTTGCTAAATCCACACTAATAAAAATGGCATTGTAGATTGTGTCAACACTTCTTGAAATTTACATCTGTTTAACTGGATTTAAAACTTGTCATCTTGGTAGAAATTAAAGTATGTACTTCAATGTTAATATTAGCACTATTAAAACAATTGTAGAGAAGTGGTTTAGATTTTATGTCACTTTGTAATAAGATGACCACATTTTGCACTAGATTGATATTGACAAGGGTTGTCAGAAACTTAAAAGAAAATCAGTTTTTACTCACACGACATGATTTTAGTTAATTTACTAAATTTATTTTCCTAAACACAGCATTGAAAAGGGAGAATTCTTTATTTTAGTTTAGGATATCAATGTTGAGACAAGTCAATTGATTTTCCCAAGGTCATACAAAATCCAGATCTCCTAACTTCTCACTTCATTGCTCTTTCAAGAACTCAAATTTTCCCAAAGGTTATATAGTATTAATTTAGGGGTTCTGAATACTTATTCAATTCAGTCTGCCCTATAGCAAAAAGAACAGATTTAGTCATGGTATTTTGGTTGGCATCATATTCAGCAGGTAGCCATCTGCTACCTGTAATTGCGAAGTCATCACCTTTTTTTTTTTGCAAATAACATCTGATGCCAAGCTCTCACTGGAATGAGTGTTCCAAAAAAGAAATGAATCAAAAAGCTAGCAGCTCTTATTGTCTCATTCTCTGTATGTGTTAATAAGTGTATTTATAAATGTTATGGGTTATGGCATAGGACAAATTGAGGTTGTTTTTGATAGATAGGGTGAATATTTACTCAGTTGTCAGGAGAAATTTTAATGACTTTTGGCAGACGTATGCTGGTAGAGTTTTGTGAACTACCAGAGCTGTTCAAATACCAGCCTTTTTAGTTTAATGAAGCTGGGATAGAACACAAGATCTTCCCAATTTTCCAAAATGAGAAACTATACAGTGTGACAGTCACTATACTTCATTTTCAGTCGTTCAGAAAACAAGCTGACCCTATAGACCAGAAATCACATTCTCTGATTTCAAACAAGGGAAATACACTAAGCTTTACTGATTTCCTCCCTTCTCCTTCCTGGTTCTGATTCCTAGCACAAGCCTTGTAGAATAGTGGAAAGAGTATTGGACTTGGTTTCAGAACAATTGGATTTGAATCCCAATGTTCTTTTTTATAACCTTGAGCAAGTCCCCTAAACTTCTCCCTTGCGAGTACCTACTTTACATCAAGGTTATGGGGATTAAATAACATTAAAAATGTGAAAGTTCCTTGTAAAACACATAATGTATGAATGTGTAAATCATCAGTATGATGATTATTTTGGCTAAAACCAAAAAGCCTGATTCAGAAATGCAGTTTTTTTGTAAGTTCATGGTTGACTGTTCAGTAACTTGGTGAAATAGTTCTATTATTATTTTATTTTTTTTTGCTATCCACCAGTATTATAGAAAGGAAATTTAATTAAAAACATTAAAAATACTATAGAAGTAGAGACATGAGCCAATAAAAGTTAAGAAGTAATGAGTACAGGCTGAAACAGCACACTTAACTCAACCCATGTGTCTAGATGCAACTGCGTATAGAGCATGTCAGACAAGCGTCTGACTTCATAGTGCCATATGGTTTCACTGTGTGAGCACAGGGGCTTCGTTAAGGTCATAGTGGCATACTTTGCTCTTAATTTCCTTCCATTTATTGGTTTGTGCCACTATTTTAAATTAGAATTTACATTTAAATTTTTTTACTAAGATTACTGTAATTGGTTTTGCCTCCAATGTATTTTTTTAATTTTTTTTCCTTTACAAAAATGTTTCCACACCTGTTGTTGAATAAGAGGCCTAATCTAAGTTAGATCATCCTTAGCAAATTATAGTGGCTGCTCTGCTAGATAAAGCTTCATGAATTCATTAGATACCATCGCAGAGGGGTGCTTAATGCTGCTTGTATTGAGGGCCATTGGCTTTCCCAGTAAAAACAAAACAAACATACAAAAAACCCCAAAGTTCTTGCAACTAAAAAGCCACTTAATTGTATTCATATTCTTAAAATCAATGTGTTTTTTTGTGAATTAAAAACATGAAATCTAATTCATTTCAGTACTGATAGCATAATATGCCTCAGTTTCATAGGGAAAACAGCTAACATGAGAGAGAGAGAAAGGGTGGATGAAGACTGATAAAGACTGTGAGAAGAGGTGTTCGAATAAAAATGCTAAGCTGGTAGAGTCACTGAGGCTGTGTGACATTGAGAAAAGAACAGGAAGAGGGCAAGGAGAAGATGTTAGTGCCTCAATGATTATTAGAAGAGCAAGAAGAATTGTTACCCCTCTATTCTGTGAGGCTGTGGATTTCAACATCCTTTATCATTGCTCATTAATGCAAATTAACTGGTTAGTCTTGGCCTATAACTCCTCGACAGCATTAATCTTTAAATTCTGTGAGTCTGTCCCAGATGAGACAGTTACCACAGCTCACCAGTTTAGGGCAAAGAGGATAATGAGATATTGTTTTCTGAGCCTTCTCATAGTGATCTGGACAAAATCAAACTGGAGGGAATCTATCCCTTCCGTGGAACAGAGAGGGCAGAAGTGGTTTGTTGCCAGGGACCAAACTAATAAAGTCAGTCAGTTTTACATTTTACCAAAATTACCTCTGACACATGGATTTTACAGTTGGGCTTATTCTGTCAATAAATTTTTCATGGAAAGTTAGATTATTTAGATCAGTGAGGTTCACATAGCATACTCCAGCTGTAATATGCCAGCTAAATTGCAACCTAGTGGCCTGAAAGAATTAATTCATCTCCCAAAATGTGAAATTAAATCCTAGGGAGTAACATTACATGACTGATGATGCACTGAATTAAATTAAAGGAAGACTTGAATGCCTGTTAAAAAAAATATCACTTACATAAACAAGTTTATAACCACATGTGAGCCTCCTAATGGATCAAGTTATTGTGAATCCACCCTAACAAAAATCCAGAATGTGAACTCTTAGGATGCTGTTTAATTTAGGAAAAAACCCCACAATTTTGGTCTGTTTTTAAGGTGTCAAATAGTTCAATTTTTAATACTGTGTTTCAAGATTAAAGTCATACAGTATATGATGAATTTGGTAACCTACTAGAACTAGGAAACCACAAGACATCACCACACACTTGTGCCTATGGCCCTGAGCCTTCCCTGCAGTAGATGGCATGACTGTGTGCTGTTCTGTCTCTTGCAGCAGCCTGCTGTATTCATTTAACATTTTTGAAGTAGAGACCCAAATATCACTGCCATGCCTGTTGATGTCTTGAGATGATGGGAGCTCATTAAGGGGGCAGAGGCTCAACTCCATGGCCACTCCAAACAGGAGGACTGCTTTCTCTGATACTTGCATTATAGATTGCCCTTTTCTATGGCTGACCCTGTTATTTACACATAAAATATGCTCATGTTTTATTTAGATTTGAAATTTAATGCAAAGGTACTTTGTCATAGCAAGCGTGGTTTTTTTACAAAGAGAGTGACAAAGTAGGAAAACCAGAGGATTGATAAAGTGGAGGTCACAGTTTCTCCAAACCTAGCAGACTCCTCTTGCAGGGCATATCTATCTTTCTTACTCTGGGACACAGCTAAGCTCTGTCACGTCACAAGGAGAAGGGAATTCCCACAAATAAGAAATAATGAAAATATGTATAAGTTAAGATCCATTTCTTAAGGTTTTTGGCTTAGTTTTGGTTTATATATGTAATAGAATTGTGTATGTATGTACAGACATACACACACGTGCATGCGCGCACACACACATTTTAATTCTTATGGCTACAGTTTTCTCTCCTTTCTTTTTCTTCCAACCCACCTGATTCTAAGCTACAGCCACAAAAATCCAGAAGCCCCTTGGTATCCTCTCTATTTTAGCTTCTTCTTGGTTGAAATTTCAGACAACTCTTCCCAAAGCCTGCCTTCATCATGCTACTTCCCTGCTCAGAAGCTGGGGGTGCTGGATGCCCCCCTCCAGGTCCATCAGATTAAGTTCATTAGCTGTTTGTTCAAAGCCCCTGTGTGTGGTGCTAGTCTCCCATCCAGTTAGCTCTCAAATCTTTGAAGGCTCTAGGCTTGTCGATGTCTTTAGTTTTTGGACTTCAGCTTTATTCCAAATGTGTACTGAAGTTACCCGGTCCTGGTCCTGTGGCTTTGTCTCATACTCCATCCTGAGCACGTAGAAAACAGCACACACATACTTGATTTGGTAGCACTAACAAATGTGATCCAGCTTCCTTCTAAACTGAGTAATATGATCTGAGCTTAAATGTTTGTTTGCTTCTTAAACTGCAAATTATTGGAATAGGTGGTAAGACTGCAAAAGTTACTGTGAATACCTAATGTCCTCTCATTGGTAAACATCAAGTTGTCATGTTGGCCCTAACTCAGACTTACTTATTACAGTCCGATGTGATGCCCTTCTCCAAACCAGGAGTCTTTAGTGTCAACTCCACTAAACTAGCCTTTTTATAAGTTTACTGCAAGCATGAGAAATGAAACCAGAGATTGATGCTGGAACTTATGCATGTTTATCTAGAAGGGTTTTTTCTCTTGTAGTGAGTTTTGGTTTTTTTGGATTAGGGATTTAAATAACAAACAGTTGCCTGAATATGAAGCATAATTTCTTTCGTAAATAGAAATCAATATGTATTTCTGAATAGGTGGAAGTGGAGAAATGATTAGCATTTATTATTTAGTAATTACATTTCAATCTAAATTTTGCATTTAGGATTCTAGGACTCTTCATCCGAGGCATTGAAGAAAACAGCAGGTCCAAGCGAGAGGGACTATTTCATGAAAATGAATGTATTGTCAAAATCAACAATGTGGATCTCGTAGACAAAACCTTTGCTCAGTAAGCGTTTTTTCATTGTTTTATTTGCTTTGTGGATCCTTATCATGGTTATAATCATTACTGAACTCATTATGATCAAAATAGTAGGAATAATTTCTAGTCAGTTCCCTTTGAATGATTCAGGACTTTCGTTATTGAATGCTTCTTATGTGTTAGCATACTCAAAGGTGGCCCACACATGTCTCTGGCAGGTCTGAGAATGCTAAACTACAGAAATCACAAGCCGTCCTTCCTGGCTGTCTTACTGGCGCGACGATGAATGGGCTTGTTTTTCTTGGGCTATGGGTCAGTTAAACTGGTATTTAATGACTCTTTTCACAGACTGTTAGTTCAGCTTATTAATTAACTTACTTGGTGTCAGGAGTCTTCCTTAAACTCAAAAAAAATCTGTGAGAGATATCTGAGGACTCACTGAATCATAGAAACAAACAGAAAAAATTAAAATACTGTCCCCTGGCCAGGTGCCGTAGCTCATGCCTGTAATCTCAGCTCTTTGGGAGGGCGAGGCGGGACATGAGGTCAGGAGTTCGAGACCAGCCTTGCCAACATGGTGAAACCCCATCTCTACTAAAGATACAAAAAAGAATTAGCCGGGCATGGTGGCATGCGCCTGTAATCCCAGCTACTCAGGAGGCTGGGGGCAGGAGAATTGCTTGAACCTGGGAGGCGGAAGTTGCAGTGAGCCGAGATCACACAATTGTACTCCAGCCTGGGCGACAGGGTGAGACTCCATCTCAAAAAACAAAAGAAAACAAGCAAACAACAACAAAAAATCTCCCTTAAGAAATTATCTCTCTGCATGTGAAAACGTTAAGGGAATCACTTTCTATACCCAAAAATGAGAGTATATAGTAAGTAATCTGATGCATATATTTTTTAATGTATGTTGGCATTGCAGTGGGATTCTGGACCAAGGGACCAAGTCCTCATAATCCTTGGTAGTCATCAGCAGCCTCTTTCTTCTGACCAAAGCAGCTTAAAATACATCTTCTCTCTGGGCATTAGTTGTCAAGATGGTATATGTGAACAAACATGAGTGGTTGTGGGTAGAGGAAAAGTGGGTACCGGCTGCTAACTATGAAAAGAAATGAAGCCTTAGAAGAATCTATTGTGTTAAAGAATGAGAGACAAAACTATAATTATTAGTAGTAATGATTTTTTAAATATACGACTGTGCTTTTTTACAAGGATTTGATAGTTATGCATGACAGTCATTATCACTTCCATTTTACAGAAGTGGAAACTGAGGCTCATAAAAATTTAGTATAGAGTTAGTATGGAGAAGAATCTGATTGCTAGGCAAGCAAAAATAACATAGGGAAATGAACCACAGGAGTTAGGTGGCCTATGTAAAGTCTTCCCTCTCCCCTAGCAATGTGAGGAATTAAATACTTTAGAAAGGGAGGTGGGCAGTAGGGTTTGGGGAATCAGATTGCAGTGAGATTATGATTAGCTATTATGTGCTGTGGCTGCTAGCAACAAAGACCTGAAATAAAAGCTGGAACAAGATTAACATTAATTTTTCCTAACAACAAGCGAGCGTGGAGGAGGTCACTCCACGGTTAGTGCAGCAGCTGCACAGCCATCAGTGAGTCAGGTGGCTTCTGACTTTCTGCTTTGCCATCTTGCCATGCGGCTACTATCCTTCAGTGGAATCATGGGTGTAAGATGACTACTGAGTTGCCTCAGTCACCTCTGAGTTTCAAGAAATAGGGAATAGAAACAGGAGAACAATAAAAGTTTTTATCTCTCTACTGAATCAGCCTCTTCTAAAGAGCCTCCCTTTAACGTCTTCATTTATGTCTTCTGGGAAAGAGACTGGGAAAAGTAGTTGTTTGACGTGGGCGCAGGGTATTGAGAGGCATGGGGAGGAGGTGTTATAAGAATTTTGAGGACAAACACAAAGCACTGGAACATAAAAGTGAAAAACACAGGTGCTCTATGTTAGAGGAACAGGAAGGATGAGTGTTGCATTGAAGTTCCACTGAGACATTTAGGCACAGCCAAGGCACTTGCCAAAATATCTCCATGAGCAAACATGGGTGTCAAAATGGACCTTGTGTAACACAACCCATGTTGGAGAAGATCTGTACTTGAGAAGAATGTCGTAAAAGAAACCTAACTAATAATCTGATCCAAAATATCAAATCATTTTGCTTTTTTTTTTTTTTTTTTTTTTGAGACAGTCTCACTCTGTCCCACAGGCTGGTGTGCTGTGGTGCAATCTTGGCTCACTGCTGCAACCTCCACCTCCCGGGTTCAAGCAATTCTCTGCCTCAGCCTCCTCAGTAGCTGGGATTACAGGCACCTGCCACCACACCTGGCTAATTTTTGTATTTTTTAATAGAGACGGGGGTTTCACCATCTTGGCCAGGCTGGTCTTGAACTCCTGACCTTGTGATCCACCAATCTCAGACTCCCAAAGTGCTGGGATTACAGGCATGAGCCCCCGCAACTGGCCTATTTTGCTTTTTATGTTCACTGCAGTAATTACTTCTGGTTAGATTTTCATGGTTAGAAACATGTGAAAGCTATGGGTCATTAAACAACTTATTTCATCTTTCTCAGCCTCAACTTCCATGTCTGTGAAATGAAACCTAATTATACCTACCTACCATGCTTGTTAAATTAGAGAAGGATGCATGGTAATAATGCATGTATAACCCAGTGCAGGGACACCTAGTGGGCAAGTAGTAACTATTACAGCAAAGTCATTCTGGTAGGAATATTGATCATGTCTCCTAAGATTGGCCACAGTGCTGCTCCTGGTTGCCACCCTGCTGGGGTACTTGAGAAGATGCTACACCTCAACACAGGGTCAGCATACATTTATCAACTCTCTTTCCAGGGCTCAGGATGTCTTCCGCCAGGCAATGAGATCCCCAAGTGTGTTCCTCCACGTGCTTCCTCCGCAAAACCGTGAACAGTATGAAAAATCAGTTATTGGACCTCTTAACATTTTTGGTAACAGTGATGGCATTTTGAAAACAAAAATGCCACCTCCTGTCCATGGAAAATCGGGAATAAGGACAGCAAATCTCACAAGAACCGATGCTCCTGAAACAGATACATCAGCTTCCCTGCAACAAAGCAAGAGTCCTCGAGTACCAAGACTGGGAGGAAAACCATCCTCTCCCTCACTCTCCCCTCTCATGGGATTTGGCAGCAAGAAAAATGCAAAGAAAATTAAGATTGACCTAAAGAAAGGTAATTATTAAATTATGCCTAATAGCATTCTATTATTGTAACATGTAAAATTGGTTAAGAGAAATGCATTAAGGCTAATTTAGTTAATTCACCCTTCATTTAATTGTATCAAAGAATAGATTTAAGTGTATACTTAGGTAACTTAAATTTCTTGAAATTGTAGTACTTTTTTATTCTTTTCTTCAGAGTGTATAGATTATTTTAAACAAGAAAATAATAAAGACATGTTGGGGAATGGAAAAAAATCATTGCAAACCTGATATCAACAGAGCAATATTGTATTACAACTTAATACTAAACAGGCGCTGAAATTCGGTTGTCCTTGTTCTGAGCGTGATTAGTGATTCTTGAAGCATGCGTTAGACCATGTCCAAAAAGCATGTTGTTTTTCTAAGACAGTTTTATAACAACAAAAAGTTTGCTCCTCAGAAAGCAAATATGTAATATTTACTAATTTCTGATTCGACATCACAAACATTTATTTAAAACATACCTAATTTCAAAAGCATGTATAATCTTTTCTTCATCTTTTTCAACTTTTTTATCCATTTCAAGCACAGATCAGTGAGAAGAGATCATGTGTGTACATGCATATTTATGCAGTATTATACTCACACACATAAGCATTCACGTGCTTCTGTGCTTTTGTTCATTTTGTAACCTCTGCTTGGTATTCCTTCCCCGACTGCAACCTTTTGAAATTCTGTGTTTTTCAAGACAATTCAAAAGAAACCAAGATCTTATAGATTCTTGTCTGAATTAATAGAGAATATATGGTCACAAGGTAGTTTTAGAAGAACTATTAAGGTCTTTCAAAAACAAATGATCTATCTTTAATTAGGGCATGGAAATGATTCTGGAAAGATTCTCTGATCAAAATTTCACCTATAAGAATTCTATTCTGGGAATAAAATACATTGACTAGTAGGCATAAAAATACTTCAGTGTGCTTATCAGTTAGGTTTTTTTTAAATTTTAATGCCTCAGTTGCATTTTGGTACAAATGATCCAGCTATGTGTAAGACATAGGTTTGGGTGCTTTGGGTATAGAAAAATGAATCAGACCAAGAATCACCTTAAAAATTCATTAAAAAGCCTTGAGTGCAAAAATGAAAGATATGACATCACATCTGTACTTTGGGAAGATTAACCTGACAGCAAAAAGATACACTGAAACAACAAAAGAGAAGTCATGGGTGCATTGCATCTGTCTAAATGTGGAAACATAATAGGCATGCCTTCATAAATGACTCATTGTAGGAAGGAAAAAAAGAGAGGAATTACAGTGACTGCTGAGGTTTTCCAGCCAGGGAAAGTTGCATAATGGAGATGTCATTGCTAGAAATTAGAATTTTAAGTAGATGAGGATATTTGCAAAGGTCAGGATCTGGATTGGAGAGGGAGGTACAGAGTGAAGTTTGAAATGTACATGGTGACATCTAGGAAGCTGACATCAGAAAGGGAAATTGGAGCCATGGAGATTTAGGTCTCTTTCACTGCGAGATATAGTTGGATCCAGGAACTGGCCAAGGCAGGGAGTCAGGGGACAAATTGCTCCAGGACAGATTTTGGGGGAACATCTGTGGCTACATGGGAGGACAATGGGTAAGATTTAGCAACAGTGACGGATGTGATCAAAGGTAGGAAAATAAAGACGTGAAAACCAAAGAGAGAATTAATTTCAAGAAAATGGTGGGAATCATCAAAGCTAGACCAACAGAGATGATCATGGGTAGGTCACTGGTGATGGAAGCTTGAAGAAGCAGTAAGATGGAAGTAAGGATCCTTCAGGTTAGAGAAATCTGAGCATACTTTTAGACAGAGTGAAAAATACATGGCAAGGGAGAAACTGAAGATGTGAGAGAACAGGGCAGGAGCAGCAAGACGCTTGCTGACCAGACAGTGGGATGCAGCAGTACGAGGAATTGAGACACAGTAGAGGGCTCCGCCACAGGTTGTCCAGCTTATTTAAGAGGCTGACAAAACTTATGTCAGATGGCCTTTTGCTTCTCTGAAATTATGTAGTCACATTATGGCTTACTGAGAAATCAGTCTCCTGGGCACATGGATAACACGTGCATTTCTTCCAGAACCTGAATAAGCCAAAGTGTTATGCATCTATGTTGGGTCCTAAATTCACTTTATTACCATCATGGCCTGTCTGAAACTATAATCTGTATTTGAAAACTGAATAACTGAAGCATGTTGAAAATGTCCTAGAATGTAAATATTTTACTGATTCTATATTAGTCTAAATTAGGTAGATCTTACTGTAAGATTAAATAAAATATTACTCATGCTTAAGATGACTATGCATTTTCCTGTTCTTATATGCAAGGCCCTGAAGGACTTGGTTTCACTGTGGTTACCAGAGACTCTTCCATACATGGTCCTGGTCCCATTTTTGTAAAAAACATTTTACCAAAGGGAGCAGCAATAAAAGATGGCCGCCTACAATCAGGGGACAGAATTTTGGAGGTAAGAATTGGAATTAATAGATGTAAGAAAATATTTCTTGGCATGTAAATAATGTTATTTAATGGCATTGAAATATATGTACATATGTTAATATTTTATTTTGAACCTAATATATATTAAAAATTACTACTTATAAACAAGAACTTTAAGTATAGAACTGGTTATTGGGTAACCTAACCTCATAAATCCCCAATAAGGCCAGTGATATGGGGCCAAGTGATAATGAAAACCATTTCTGATATTCCCTCTTACTTCTACCTCTTAGGGTTGCTGTGAAATTTGAATTGAATCTAAGAATTTAACATATATTCAGTTAGGGCCAAAAGTTAAAAAGCCTTTGTAATAGTCTCTTCAGATTTGGCCAGGACAAGCCAGAATATCTCAAGTGATTCTATGCCTTCTCTAGATCTCTATCGTATGTACTAGAATAGCAATGAAAACAGCTGTAAGGGATTTTGCAGAGAGATATATTTGGGATACGAAAAGCAAGAGGGTTGTTATTTTTTCACTTATTTTTCTCTGAGGACATTATCTTCTTGATAGTTATATAATGTCAATTTACCTTTGAAGCTATCATCTTTGTTAAAAGCAACACTATAGCTTTTCATGTTGTTCTAGATAGTGGAAGAAGATGAACCAAATGACTAACGTAGCTCCAAATTAGAATTTCCAATAATTTATGATAATCTGGTGACTATAATTTTCTAAATATGCTTAAAAATTTCAGGATTCTATTGCTAGATTTATATTTCCAGAGAAATTTGCCTTGTGATCATGATTCACTGCTTGTTGATTTGGGCAGAAAATGGTGCTAGATGAGCCTTTGAAATCTGCTCCCTACCCGACGCAGGATCATTTTCTGGTACCTGTCAGTCCAGTTTTCCCCACATAAGAATGTGATGCCTTAGGAGAAACTGCCGATACTAACTATTGACTCAGTTCATCCAGCATTACAATGATGATTCATTATTGGGAATTGTTGGTTTTTGCCCATGTATTTAGTTTTTATCTTTCCAGAGCTTCATCAAGTACGGGAGCCTATTTGCTTCTTACTTTCAAAAACTGTTTAGGGCAGAAGGAGATAACAAGTATTGTGATTGTGGCTGTTCATATGATTTTATTCATTAGGTAAATGGGAGAGACGTCACTGGACGAACCCAGGAAGAGCTCGTGGCCATGCTCAGGAGCACCAAGCAGGGGGAGACAGCATCGCTGGTCATTGCCCGCCAAGAAGGACATTTTTTGCCCCGAGAGTTGGTAATGTTCAGATCTCAGTCTCACTGTATTTTTAATGCTGAGCTTAATGCACTCAGTGAATTCATTATGGCTGAGAAATGAGTTCTAAGTCACAGGCTTCATTCATAACCCAAGTTGAATCACACCAAGAGGATGTTACCCCCTTTGGGGTATCGCACCTTCAGGACATTGGTACAGCCAGTTGCGTATATGTAAACAGTGCTTCTGGGGCACAGATTCAAACACCTTTAGCAATAAGCAACTATTCAACAGTATGCAGCTAATTCAACAAAATATATAGTGAATATGTGCTGTGTGCTAAGCCCTAGGCAAAACACAGTCAGTAAAATAATTTGCAGACCTACCTTAATGAAGTTTACAGTCTAACAGGAAATAAAAAGATAGCCAAGTATTCAAAATGGCGATGAAGATTATGAAGAAAAAATGCAGAGTGCTATGATAACACAGAACAAAGGTATTTAACCTACTCTTGAGGGCTGGGATAGATATCTTGAGAAAGAAGAGTTCAAAAGCCTTATTAAAAATGTATAGCCTTAGACCTAATAACTAGACTTCTAGTAATCTGTCCTAAACTGATGACTGAAGATGTGGAAAAAATTCATGTACATTGATTTTTTTCCCCCAAAGTCATATCTATTGCAGTGATATATTGGGTCCTGTATAACCATAAGGCATTGGTTAGATAAATAACTAGATAGCTTACCAGTGAAATACAGAAGTACTTAAAATGGTTTCTGTGAAAAATTGATAATAGCATGAAAAAATGTTCATCATCTGATATTATATTTAAAAGTAGGGTATAAAATTATGTGTGCAGTATCATCAAATTACATTTTAAAACTTGTTACCAACTAGAAGCAGATGTATCTGGGATATTGGTTATGAGAGATTTTCATTTTCTTTTTTTACAATAAATACATATTATTTATTGTATTGAAATCATGCTTTTAAGAAGGCTATAGAAAAAAATTCAAAACGAGGCCAGGCACGGGCTCATACCTGTAATCCCAGCACTTTGGGAGGCTGAGGCAGGTGGATCACCTGAGGTCAAGAGTTTGAAACCTGACCAATGTGGTAAAACTCCATCTCTACTAAAAATGCAATAAGTATCCGGGCATGGTGGCGTGCGCCTGTAGTCGCAGCTACTCAGGAGGCTGAGGCAGGAGAATCACTTGAACCTGAGAAGCGGAGGTTGCAATGAGCCGAGATTGCGCCACTGCACTCCAGCCTGAGCAACAGAACGAGACTCAGTCTCAGAAAAAAAAGAAAATTCAAAAGGGATTTTATAGCTAATAACAAATAGAAACAAATGTGATAAAAGGACTTTTATCTACTCCTTGTTATTTCCTTTGAATCTGTAAAAGAATTGAGAAAGGCACATGTGGGTTCCCCGAGTTAGGTTATCAGAACAGTAAGGATTAGGTGATAGAAATGAGGATATTTCACTTGAAGAAGAGAAATTTTAGGAGACATAGTATTATTGTCAGATATGTAAAGAGTTATTATATGGATTGGAAAGTAGACCTAATCTGTTTCTTCAGACAGTTTACACTCATTAATCTACTTACGCATTAATTCAGCCATTTACTAAGCATCTGCTGTGTACAAAGTTGGAGGTTCTAGGGATACAAAAATAATTAAGACTCACTCCCTGCCATCATTGAGCTCGTTCCAAAACAAATGGATGCAAGAGGATAATGTTATGAGAACTTTAATGGACCGGTCCAAGAAGGAAATGGGTTAGTTAGAATATTCAAACAGAGCTTGCTTCGCCAACTGTCCAAGATGCTCTAGAAAAAGTTTCCCCATTGAGGTTAAATAAGACTACACAAGCTCTAAGTTGTCTCTCTGATCCTACTGTTCTGTCACATGTATTTATATTTACGTTTCAGCCTACAACCTTGTCAAATCACTTGTCTTATATATTAATTCTCCTTAATAGCTGCCAAAACTTTCCATCACCTCCAGGTTTCCTTGGCTTGGAATTTTCTTTCTCCCTTTCCTTCTCTTTCCCATCATCTTACCCATTATTTTCTTTCCTCATTGTTTACTCTGGGAAGATCTGTAATAGGGAAAATAAGAAAAAAGAGCTGAGTCATGCCAATACAGTCCCCATTTCTATTCCTCTACTTGACTCCACTATACTCAACCATTTGAAAGGCAGAATCCTACATGCATGTCTCATTTCCTCATACTTTCTAGAGAAATGATGCAGAAACTTGGAGTTTGGATTTTTTTTTTCTAAAATGCAGATGGATCCTTCTTTCAATGTTTTATTCATTGAAAGACTTTGGTCTTTCTCTACAAGGATCAAAGTGAAAAGAAACAATAAAAAAAGGGGCAGTGTGTGTATGCAGCAAGAAGCTCTTCCATTTCTCGTCTGATTTTTAGGTTGCTAGAAATAAAAACTCTCCAGAAACCTCAGTGGAACTATGTGCTTATTTCAGAGATCGGAGTGGAAAGAAAGAAGTTTTGGCCGTGCATTCTGTTGAACTATGGTCCTGGAAGAAATAAAACCCTGCATAAAAACAGAAATATTTCAGCCAGCCCCTAAGCGTGCAAAAGAACCCAACAAGAGAACTCTACTAGGAACTTAAGCCCTTGAGGCCTCAGTTTCTGTCTAGTAGTTCCTCATAACCTCCCATATGTCCTCTGGAATTTCCAACTCTGCAGTTAATACCTTCTTCCTAGAAGTTTTGCCCTTCCCCCAGATAAGGGACGCTGATCTCATCCCAGTTTGAAACTCCAAATTCATTCCTTATCAAAGACAATTACATCTGGAAGTTAGCAAATGGAATAACATTTAAATTGTCTCTGGAGTTCAACTCCCAGAATTCAACTTCTATATCCACCACTTACTAGCTGTGTGATGTGGAGAAGTTCAGAACATCACTCAGAGGCTGTTGTCCTCATCTGTGTTGTAAGAATTGCTGTAAGGATTAAATGAGATAATACAGGCAAAGCTCCTAGCAGAGTTTCCAGCTAATTGTAAGTTCTCAAAATATGTTAGCTATAATTATTCTTTCTAATACATGACCACTTCTGTAGTAGTGTAAATACAATTCTATACTCTAGATATATTATGGGGTAGATAGATATGTGCAGCCTTGCCTGGGACTGACAACTATTTTTGATCAATGATTGTTTTATTTTTCATTATTTTATAAAGTATTCTGGGATCCAAAATACTGAGTTACAAACAACATTTTTATAACTAATCAAATTGGTAAGGGAGGCAGCTGTATGTATTATTTCACTCTCATTTAATGGAATTTAGTGAAATTTCATTTCTATCCCGGAATGACATAGGCTAAGTCCACCAGGGAGCATACTAAGTTAACTGTGCAACTGGGAGATTATGAGCACAAATAAATTATTTATTCTCATTGTTTCTAGTTCTATTCTAAATTTGGAGGGTGTATGCTTAGTATTCATTCCTTTAGAACCTTCTAGCAAATATCTACACTCTCAAAAATAGTTGAGAGTCAACCATCCAAATATATGGAATTTTCTTTGTCACCATAGGGCCTTTGGGGCTTATAAGCACCTAAGTCATGTGGAACCAGAATCTTTGTATTGGAGTAATAAGGAACTACACTCTTCTTCCAGCCAAAATGCCTGCCTCACGTGCCAAGAGGCAAGAATCATACAGAAAGTTTAAAGAAAGGTGATGTTTGGCATGTGCTGGGCTATTTCATTGTGAACTACTTCATAGTGTGACATGCACCGACCTGCTTGAAAAGGCAAAATAAAGAAGTGTGTTATGTGCTGCATCTTTGTGTTTTCCTTTTAAAAATTGAAGCTGATATCACTTTGGTCTCTTCTTCCTTATCATGATTGATATACACACTTGACTTTCCCCTGAAAATCTGGCAGGATGGAGGAGGAACAGCACTTCCTGCTTTTGTCTTGTTCTATCTCTTTTGAAGAAAACAAACTGTGTTTATTGTTTTCCTGTTCTGAGAAACTGTCCTCTTTTGTTGATCCTTGCTGTTCTGTGAGCTCTGTAACTTCTTAGCAGCACTACACTGCCTAGTTTCTGACAATTAAATCTTCCTTCCTTCCTTGTTATCTTAGTTTCTTGTGGAGCCTTAACACTTAAGCTAAGGCAGCATGTGGTCAGCAGTCATACAGGAAGTCCCAGTATAGAATTGTCTCTTGGATATGACTCTCTGTCATTCGTAAGGCCATGGTGTCCATTTCCTGGCCATTTCTCCTGACCTGCCACCTAGAAGAACTGTGCTGAACTCTTACATTCTAGTTCATGTCCTTCTTCCTGAGCAATTCGTTATCACAAGTTTAGCAGCACATTTCGCCAACCTTCTTTCCATCTGGGCAGACCGTGTTGAAAATCAAGTAAGAGGAATTTATATAATAATATTATAACTATTTAGCTGTTTCTAGTATCTTTACCAAAAGAATGGTGTTTCAAAGGTAATCTTTCTAGAATCCCATTCTGAAAGATCCTTTGATGTCCTCACCCCCTGACTGGGTGAGAGTTTACTGAAGATGTGTTCACATAAGGAACATTTTTGCTGAAGGTACTTTGAGATTAGTTTTGGTAACAGATTTTAGAATCTGAAGGTTAAACTGCTATGTCTGCATCTACACTTGAAATGAAAACTATGCTAGTTAATCAGTTGGTGTTTTGTTTGGTCAGTTCTGTAAAAGATGTGGCCTATAAGTTCTTTTCTATCTCAGATACCTGAAATTCATTGTTTCTATTTCTTTTTTTTTTTTTTTTTTTTTTTTTGAGACGGAGTTTCGCTCGTTACCCAGGCTGGAGTGCAATGGCGCGATCTCGGCTCACCGCAACCTCCGCCTCCTGGGTTCAGGCAATTCTGCCTCAGCCTCCTGAGTAGCCGGGATTACAGGCACGCACCACCATGCCCAGCTAATTTTTTTTTTTTTGTATTTTTATTAGAGACGGGGTTTCACCATGTTGACCAGGATGGTCTCGATCTCTTGACCTCGTGATCCACCCGCCTCGGCCTCCCAAA